AGATGTCTCTGAGCTGGAGGCTGGGGAGATGTCTCTGAGCTGGAAACTGGGGGGGATGTCTCTGAGCTGGAGCCTGGGAGATGGTTCTGAGCTGGAACCTGGGGAGATGTCTCTGAGCTGGAAACTGGGGGAGAGGTCTCTGAGCTGGAAACTGGGGGGATGTCTCTGAGCTGGAAACTGGGGGAGAGGTCTCTGAGCTGGAAACTGGGGGGGATGTCTCTGAGCTGGAGCCTGGGAGATGGTTCTGAGCTCCTGAATCAGAGCATGCTCCGGGGACGCAGTGGAAGAGCCATCAGCCATGCCCCAGGACGACGGCCCCTGCAGGCCAGGACAGCAGGGAGTCCAATGTGGTTCCTGCTAAGTCTGAGCTCTAAATTAAATTTCTGACAAGGCTGTTTGCCACTGTCCTCTCCCTTGCAGGTCCGTGGATGATCTGAAATGATGAGGAACACACGGCTCCACAAGGGCCCCGCACACAGTGGCCTGGCTATGGGTTCTTCTGCTGCGCGAGATGAAGCTGGGTGCTGGGTCACCAGGGTCGGTCCTGATGAGGTAGAATCTGGAGCCCTCCAGAAAACATCGGACTACAGCGCTCAAACACCCCTTCACGCCAGCAGTCTCCGCAGGGAGGTGCCGAGGGGCACAGGGAAAGCCTGGCCAACGCTCGACTTCACTCTGGGCAGGCCAGCCCCCTCTCCAAAGACCCCTGCAGCTGTGAGGGTCCCTGGGTACACAGCTCCACAATGCACCTCCCTGAGTGGAGGACGAAGGACCACGGGCCTCTGCCACAGTGGAGGCGCAAATGTGGTCTCCTGGGTGTGCTGGCAGTGCGGGATGCAAAGGGTGTGACTGGCTCTGGGGCTGCCCAGTGGGCCAGTGGAGCTTAGAGTGAGGAAAGCTGTGTGTCAGGGCCGGAGCTGTCACCTGCATGGTGACTGTAGCCCAGTCTCGCCTCGGCCTCCTCCAGGCTTCCCCTGCCAGCTGAGTGCAGCCAGCCCCAGAACCTCCAGTCCCACTAGGGGTCACCCCCAGTCTCCAGGCCTGACCCATGCAGACAGGCCACCCACAAGTGCCCAGCTGCAGGCGCAGCCTGGATACCCTCCAGCTGTTACAGGCCCAGTGCCCCGAGGGCAGTGCCGGGCTTCTTCACCCACCTCCAGCCTTCCTATCCCAGCTGTGGCCGTGACCCTCAGTGGTCAGCACCACAGAATGTGCCGCCCCCAAATATTCTCTATAAAACTGTCACACGAATGCTAATGTTAGGAGCCATGTGGAAACTCAGAGCCGGCAGGAGCACCAGGTGAGGACCCCAGCCACGGGCGATGCCCCTCCTCCTCCCGGGAAGCTCCTGCCCTCGGCACTTCCCACTGCCAACACAGGACCCGCTGTGCCCCAGAACCTGATGTGCTGATGTCCCCGTGAAGAAAGCACAAGGACAGAGCAGGCCTGGCCACCCCGGAGACCACCGAGGACAGAGCAGGCCCGGCCACCCTGGAGAGCACAGAGGACAGAGCAGGCCCGGCCACCCTGGAGAGCACCGAGGACAGAGCAGGCCCGGCCACCCTGGAGAGCACCGAGGACAGAGCTCTGGTGGCTCTGCGCTGCACACAGGCGGGTGAGGGGCAGGGTCCGTGCCGCGCACTGGCGGGTAAGGGGCAGGCAGGGCTCCAGGGCTCCCTACAGTCCTCACGGAGCAGCAGGCCTCTGCTGACCCTGGAACCTGGGAACGGGACCTTATTTGGACAAAGGTTTTTCAGAGGTAATTCATTAAGGATCTCAAGATGAGTGCATCCTGGATCACCCAACGACTGGTCCTTATAAGAGAGACACGGAGGAGAGACATGCGGAGGAATCCAGGCCAGTCGACCACTGAGGCTGAGGCAGAGCCACGTGGCCACAGCCCAGAACCACCTGCAGCCCCCAGAAGTGGGAAGAGGCAGGAAGGGGACCCCCACGGCCTTCGGAGGGAGCACGGCCTGCACACGCCTTGATTTTGAACATCTGGTCCCCAAAGATGAGAGGATGAATCTCTGCTGCGCGGAGCGCCCGGCCTTGGTGAGGTCCCAGCTGCACTCAGGCCCCGGGGTTCACCGCACAGCCCCGGAGCACAGGCAGCCCCGCCGACCTGCTCCCCATGACTTCCATAACTGCCGTATGATAAAGGGATCCACCCTTGCCAAGGAGACCTGGAGCAAGCACTGTAGCATGTTATGATAGTGAGGGCACTCAGATGCCAATAAAAAAGAAAACTACAACAGTAAAAATTACACAAGAAACCACAACAAACAAAATGGGACGCAAGGGGGTTTCCATCACTCCCAGCCGTGCGGGGGTGTGGGGGGGTGGGGTAGGGGCTCACTCCCGGCAGGAGGGTATCACTCCCAGCAGTGGGGGAGGTCTGTCACTCCAGCAGGGGGGGTCTCACTCCCAGCAGTGCGGGGGGGGATCCCTCATTCCCGGCAGGGGGTCTCACTCCCAACAGGGTGGGGGGTAATCCCTCAATCCCGGCAGGGGGTCTCACTCCCAACAGTGTAGGGGGGGGATCCCTCAATCCCGGCAGGAGGGGAATCTCTTATTCCCAGTGAGGGGTGGGGGACCTCTGATTCCCAGTGGGGTGGGGGGCCCCTCATTCCAGCAGGAGAGGAATCTCTTATTCCCAGCAGCTGGGGGGATCTGTCATTAGCAGGGTGGGGGTCCCTCACTCCCAGCAGGGGGGTCTCACTCACTTCCCCAGATCGGGATGTCTCTGCTCTCTGCCTTCATCACGATGGAGGACATGGTCATGGTCACCGGGATGGCGTCGAAGTAGGACGAGTGCGGCGCGAGCGTGAGGATGGCCGCCTCGGTGGGCAGCGCCCGCCGCCCCTTCACGGCCACCCAGTGGAAGCCGCCGGCAAACCACATGGTGCGCATGATGGCCTTCAGCAGGAAGTCCACAACCCTGTAAGAGAGGGCACTGTGTCACGCGGGCACACGGGCACGGGTCTGCGGTCTCAGAGGCCATGGGAAGTACGTGCAGTCCCATGGGAGGGCCCTCCAGGGCACAGTCCAGGCCACAGGCTTCCTGCGGTCGCCGCTGTTGGGACACACGCTTAAGGGGAGAAAAGACACTGCACCTTCCCAGCCTCTGCCTGGGACCTCGCCAGCCGCGCCCTCACCTACGAAGGAGACTGCGGGCCCTGTATGGAGGTCACAGCCACATGACAGGCAGTGACTCCTGAACACAGACAGCACAAGCTCCAGGCCAGAAGGCCTCGGGGCCTTGAGGTTAGCAGCATCCTATTATTTGAAATGGGAAAACATTAAAACACCTGAGAGGCATATTGAAACATGGAGGGCCCCAGAGCTGAGAGCAAAGCCCAGACCGTCGTGCGAACTTCCCCATCTCATCTCCGCGAGAAGCTCAGGGCTCCCACCACCAGGCGTTGTGTGATTACAGTGAGCTGTTTCTGGAAGAAATTAGATGGCCAGTAAATTTGGAAAATAAAGTAGAAATCAGCCTTGTTAACTGAATTTGTGGACTATCTCTTTCTAAAATAGGTACAAATTTAGCCTTTTAAATGTGTGTATTCTCTCTCCTACGAGGCTGCAAATCAGGCTGTTATTCCACACATCACAGAGCCGTCGTTCGGCAGATGGTGTGGGAGAGGCCACAGGCTGTGCACACCTCGGTCCGCAGAGAGCAGGATCTGCCCTCCTTAGGAGCCACGTCTCACTAGGTCACTGGGTAAAACCACTACACAGAGAAACAAGAGCCTGAAGCCTTCCTGGATCGACATTCCCGCGGGATGTGGGATCCTCTCAGGAGACTTCCAGGACAGGGGTCCCCACGGACCTGAGCTGAGGCAGTCGCTGGAAGAGCACAGAGCCTCTCAGGGGCCACCTCAGAGCAGCCCGTGTGTGCACAGATGGTAAACAATGGTGCAATTACGCATGGAGATGCTGGGAGCAACCCAGGACACTGCTTTCCAGAGGGAGGTGGGAGCACACAGGCTGCACTTCTTCACCATCTGTTCAGCTGAACATTTACAAATGGACTTTTCTGGCCAGGCGCGGTGGCTCACACCTGAAATCCCAGGACTTTGGTAGGTCGAGGATGAATCACTTGAGGTCAGGACTTCAAGACCAGCATGGCCAACATGGTGAAACCCTGTCTCTACTAAAAATATGAAAATTAGCCAGGCGTGGTGGTGCATGCCTATAATCCCAGCTACTCAGGAGGCTAAGGTGGGAGAACAGCTTGAACCCAAGAGGCGGAGGTTGCAGTGAGCCGAGATCGCACCACTGCACTCCAGCCTGGGTGACAGAGTGAGACTCCATCTCAGCAAAACTAAACTAAACTAAAATAAAGATAAAATGAACTCTTCCATACACATGTTGTTTTCCACAGTAAAACGAAGTACCAAAACAAAAGCCAACAGACAGCAATTGATGCATAAGATGGTAGAGACAAGGCGGCGGCAGAAGGAGAAGCGAGGCCGGGGAGGAGGCTGTGGGGGAGGGAGAAGCGAGGCCGGGGAGGAGGCTGTGGGGGAGGGAGAAGCGAGGC